GCCATTCATCTACTGATGGACACTTAGGTTGCTTCCATTTCTTGGCTATTGTAAATAGTGCTGAGATAAACATAGGGGTGCATCTGTCTTTTTCAAACTGTGCTCCTGCATCCTTTTTTTTTAACAGTGCAAGAGTGGTGCTGAGAGGGCACCCTTTGTATTTATTGAGCAAATACATGTTAACAACAATAGAATTCTGTGTGGGGGACTTAATAGACAACCATTAACTAACTTTAAACTTAATCCTCGGCAGTCTCCAGTCTCCTGGGGCGCGACATCTTACATGGTATTAAAACAATAGCAAGGGCAATTAGGTCACAGAAACTGTTTTGGTCTTGTTTGTTCTGTTCCTGATCACTTATCAGGAATTACAGGAAAAATAATCAAGGCATATATGATTATATATTTGATTTCTATACTTGATTTATATATTAATCCCACATTTCCACCTTATTTTTTTAATAAAAATTTTTTAAATAAAATTTACCTATTACTGAAGTAGTAGGTAAATGTAATAAAGATTCGTTTCTAATAGGAAGCTTTTTAACACAGTTTACTTTTTCATAAAAAGTAACCTATTTTTTAAATCTTGTGATGTAATATAAAGATGGAAAGTAGAGTTTAGTGCAGTAGGAAGGCAAGTGTAGGTAGTCAGGTTGGGCTCCTGCATTCTTAGGGTAAATTCCTAGGAGTGGAATTTCTGGGTCAAATGGTATTTCTATTTTTAGTTTTTTGAGGAACCTTCATACTGCTTTCCACAATGGTTGAACTAATTTACATTCCCACCAGCAGTGTAGGAGGGTTCCCCTTTCTCCACATCCTTGCCAGCATTTGTTGTTCTTAGTCTTTTCGATGCTTGCCATCCTAACTGGTGTGAGGTGATATCTCATTGTGGTTTTAATTTGCATTTCCCTGATAATTAGTGATGTGGAGCATCTTTTCATGTGCCTGTGGGACATCTGAATTTCTTCTTTGGAGAAGTGTCTGTTCAGATCCTCCTCCCATTTTTTAATAGGGTTATTTGCTTTTTGGGTGTTGAGGCATGAGAGTTCTTAATATATTTTGGATGTTAACTCTTTGTCAGATATGTCTGAATCCACAGCTTTAACCACCTTTATACTATATAAGACATGATGTCTGAAGGGGAATCCCATGTTTCCCATGGGAAACAATCGGAACAAGATAGTAGTAAGGTAATTAACTCCTGATATTTGTGATTTCTCAAACTTGAAGAGACTACTAAGGCATACAGTTTCTTTATTTTCCTGGTCTGTGAAACAGACACAACAACCATGATTAAACGAGCTCATACATTCAGTGAGAATAATGCTGAGCTAGATGTATCTCACTCACTGGTGAAGGAGCCTGTTCTGGCCAGCCAGCATATGCTAGAATGTTATGCCGGTGAATGCAAGCAGGTGCAGAAAGAATTAAAGAAGACAAAGGTCACTGTGGGTTTTAGAGGTATTAGGAGAGACTTTGAAGCAGAGGTAGGATTTGAGCTGAGTCCTGTTTTTGCACACCTAGCTTGTACAATGCACTCACCTACAGGCACAGAACCTGCTTTCCTCTAATGCACTGGAGAGTGCATGATAATACGGACTGAAGCCAGATACTCTCAAGGATTATCTTTGAGTTCAGCCTTTAATGCTTGGGTGGGAGAGTTAGGGTGGAGGTGGTAATTGCTTCTCTCTAGGTGGTTGCTTTGAGGAAAAAATCTTATTTCAATGACTGAGTTAAAGTTTGAAAAATACTGTATACAAGTGGCATGTATGTCAAACTCACAGAAATGTACATGAGATGACTATTATACTGTTACTGTTATTTAAAAAATATCATCTCAATAGTAGTAATAAGAACATAGCTTTGCCAACATCCAAAAGACAAGGAACAACAAATGCTGGCGAAGATGCGGAGATAGGGGAACCCTCCTACACTGTTGGTGGGAATGTAAATTAGTTCAACCATTGTGGAAAGCAATGTGGAAATTCCTCAAAAAACTAAAAATAGAAATACCATTTGACCTAGGAATTCCACTCCTAGGCATTCACATAAAGAAAACAAGATCCCAGATTCAAAAAGAAATATGCACCCCTATGTTTATCACAGCACTATTTACAATAGCCAAGAAATGGAAGCAACCTAGGTGTCCATCAGTAGATGAATGGATAAAGAAGAGGTGGTACATACACACAGTGGAATATTACTCAGCCATAAGAAGAAAACAAATTCTACCATTTGCAACAACATGGATGGAGCTAGAGGGTATTACGCTCAATGAAATAAGCCAGGCAGAGAAAGACAAGTACTAAATGATTTCACTCATTTGTGGGGTATAAAAAAGCAAAACTGAAGGAACAAAACAGCAGCAGACTCACGGACTCCAAGAAGGGACTACTGGTTACCAAAGGGAATGGGGTGGGGAGGACGGGTGGGGAGGAGGGAGAAGGGGATTGAGGGGTATTATGATTGGTACACATAATGTAGGTGGGTCACGGCACAGTGAAGCCAAGTAGTGACTCTGTGGCATCTTACTACACTGATGGACAGTGACTGCAATGGGGTGTGTATGGGGACTTGATAATATGGGTGAATGTAGTAACCACAATGTTGTTCATGTGAAACCTTCATAAGATTGTATAGATACCTTAAAAATATATATGTATATACATACGAAAAAAAAAAGAGAACATAGCTTTTAAGTCAAGATTTTCTCTCAAAGGGCAGTCACATGGATGTTTCACTCTCCACATATATTCCACATATACTGATGTGGCTGATGTTTTAAAAATGTTATATTCATCTCTGTATGGTGATAGAAGGTAACTATATTTATTGTGGTGAGCATTTTGCAATGGTATATAATTGTTACATAACTATGTTGTACACGTGAAACCAATATAAAATTGTATACAAAAAAATGTTCCTGATAGGATAAAACTAACTGTAAATCAACGATTAATGCATGCTTTAAATATCCTTAATTTTGATCACTTAAAGGGTATCAGATGATCGGCTATGGAGGTACATTTTTCTGATAATATTCCTTTCTCTTAAAAAAAAAAAAAAGCAGTTCCTGTGTGGTGACCTCCAATGAGTTCTACACAATGGTATAAAGGGCATATCAAAGTGTGGGCAAAGGGTCTGTTTGTGTTTATACAGAGGATCAAAGCCTAATTTGGCTACTCAGAAAATGAACT